CACAAATAGTCATTAAGACTAATCCAAAGTAGCATTCGTTATTAACCAACATTTTTGCATACAGAAGTACTACTCAAGTACTGAGTTGGGGGTGGCAGGGTTTGAACCCATATCGTACAATAATCTGGTTTTTAACTTTTCATTTGAGGCTCTAAACAACTGAGCTATCCAGCCATGAAGTTTGAAGATGTAGTACTTATCTAATATAAAACTAAAAGGAAAAATACTGTTGCAGTCAAAATGTGATGGAAAATTTTTTTGATAAAATAAAGTCATATTTATTCAAAGAACTACATTTTTTGTGGATTGAACTTGAAGTTGCATTGAAGTGTAAGATGATTAGCACGATTTTTAATGATTAGATAGTTCTGAATGTAGTGTCAATGTGTTGAAACAATGACTTGATCGTCATCGACAAAAAAAAAAAAAAGGTCTGAATTAATAGAAAGGGTTTCTTGGTGTATAAAAATAGGAATTCAAGTTGACAAGTGAATATTGGTTAGTGGGACAAAATCAGAAACTATGCAATATTTTGCCAATAATTGTTAATAATTTATCTTTATATAATTGATTGACATACATTAGATATTTATTCCACCTGTTTAAAAATGTTCATGTTTATTATTACATATATTGCAATATCAAATCTATACTAAAATTGTTTCTGCTTCAAATCTATATCAGTGACCAAAAAAACTGTCAGAATAGTTACTTTTATAGCTATGTATCTTAATAATTACATCATTGGCTTTATACTAACATGTTTTTTAATTTGTATTTAAAAATACAACATGGAAAAAACTTTTCCAATCATGCAGGACTATATATATATATGTATATATATATATATATATATATATATATATATATATATATATATATATATATATATATATATATATATATATATATATATATATATATATATATATATATATATATATATATATATATATATGTATATATATATATCATATAACTCTACTAGATATGCACCACTAAAAAAATATAAATATAAATTACATTATTAAAAACAAGAAACAACAACAAATCAGCAATTATATAAAGATAAATTATATATATATATATATATATATATATATATATATATATATATATATATATATATATATATATATATATATATATATATATATATCATATAACTCTGCTAGATATGCACCACTAAAAAAATATAAATATAAATTACATTATTAAAAACAAGAAACAACAACAAATCAGTAACAATCAAAATTATTCCATAATTTTTATTGTGATTTTAATAATAATATAAAAAATATTATGGAATTTTTACAGATATTATTATATAAATTTTAAACTCAGTTCAAATGTTTTTTGAAAGTAATAATTTTGTTTATAAAGTTTTTGCCTCCTTTAATAAACAAAAAATTTTAATTAGGTAACTTTCAATTAACCCTGGGTTGGTCCATGTTGTAAACTAAAAGGTTACATTTAACCATAGTTAGAAGTTTTTTCCAACTCCTGTGGAAGTGTCCTATGGAAGTTGGAAAGATTTTTATAAAGTTGCACTTTGATAATAAATTTATTTGTTTATAAAATTATGTTTTTACAGTTTTAAAAAAATGTTTTTTTTTTTGCCAAATAAAACCAACCACTATTTTTTTTTTAATAAAGTTTTTATTATTTTAAGCAATAAAGTAGTTTAAAAGCTTATTTTTTATTCATTAATTTAATTGTTCACCAAATAGTTTCAGTAGTAAAATATTTTCTTCAAATTTTTCCTTAATGCATAAATTTTTTAAAATTAAGAACAAATGATTTATTAATGTAGTTTGTAAGTTCAAAGTAAGTTTTAGTAAGTAAAGTAAGTTTTAGTAAGGTTATTTTGTTTTTTTATTTAAGCAGTTTCAAATTCTTTTAACACTCTCTAAAAGTGTTCTCTCTAAAACTCTGGCGTAGTATTTATTTAGATGTAAGTTACTATATATATATATATATATATATATATATATATATATATATATATATATATATATATATATATATATATATATATATATATATATATATATATATATATATATATATATATATATATATACATATATATATATATATATATATATATATATATATATATATATATATATATATATATATATATATATATATATATATATATATATATATATATATATATATATATATATATATATATATATATATATATATATATATATATATATATATATATATATATATATATATATATATATATATATATATATATATATATATATGCTTGTGTTCTGTCTTTTGAATATTTGAATTTTGAATATTTGGCACAAATTTACAATTTGTATGTTAGTGTTATGTATAAAACTGTGGCGTGGTGTTCATTCACTTAAAAAATTAATTCTAGCTTTGGCCCCCCATGTATTTGTAGATAGCCATTAGCGTTTTCTCGAATTTCACTTGAAGATTGAATAACTTCAGGATTAAAAAAATTATCAGTTGTTTCAAATCCAAGTTTTTCACATAGCCCGCCAGGTATACCGTATGGGTCCCAGTCAAACCCTAGGTTCAAAAATATATATAAAATTGCTTGTCATTGGTTGAATGAAGTACTTCAGTTGGTACATGTTTCACCGGGTTTATGTTAAATCAGGGTGCCATTAGACTTATTAATTCTTACTGAAAAAACGGGCAATCAAAATTTTAGTAGACATAATTATTGGATCACATATATAGTAGAACATATATAGTACCACATTTAGAACATATATAGTACCACATTTATTAGACATTTGTATGGTGCGGTTATTTTAGTTATGAATACTATTAATGAACCAGCGGATTTTTATTGATTTGTTTACTCATAGATCATTGTTTTATCAGATTTGTGTTTTAATGTGTGAATGAGGCCATATATTTGTGAGAAGCATAACAGCACGAAATTTACACTAAAGTACGTATTAGCGTATTTTATATAAAAAATGCAATCTTGGTTTGATTGATATATACTGAACAATTTCACTAGATAAGTTTAGACTAATCACAATTTCGTTAGGTTTTTTGTTTCTATCTAATTTTCTTGATCTGACGTCGCTAAGTTAGTTTGTTGTGGTTTGCACTATACAGTCTTCACTACGTTCCTTTGGTCGTTTTGTCAACAATATTGTTTTTTAACGTTACAATTTTTAGTGGTTATAAACTATTAGTTAAAAATCGCATTTATTGTCTTATCTTTTTATTTTCTCATTATTTTCTGCCTACTGATTTAATGTTTGTATATTTTTTAATCTCTGGCTAATTGTTGTTTAATTACTCTGAGTCTGTTTTGTGTGATAGCTATTGTCTCTACTTACCAGGCAAGATTTATATGAGAACATACTATTGGAGTTTTCACATTTTTATCATACTTTTGTTTAACTACTTTTGTACTAACCACAAAACATCTTAACTTAAGTATCAATGCTTATGAGTGGTATTTACTTATTATATTTATAATACATATTTCAGCCATAAAAGAAATGGTAAGTTACTATTAATTATTAATTACTATTTTCTATTCGCTTTGTGTTGTTTCTACACATTATAATTGTTTATTTATACACGCGCATACGTACATGTGTACAAGTTAGTTTCTTCTAATGTAAGGGTACCTTATATTTTTATGTGTTTACATATCTGTTTATGGTCACACCACGCGCATCCCTCACCACCCTCACGAGATCTCTAAGAATGTTGGAGCTGTTTTCAAAAACTGGGATAGAGATTTAGTTTTTTGGCTTTTGTAGTGTAGTCCTATTATATTGCAATATTGACTAGCATGACGTAGAGTGCAGGCGGTGAGATCTGTTGCAAGGACACGCCCCTGACGAGTGGCGTTAGTGCAGGTCTCGGGCTCTTGGAAACATCATTGGTGATTGCAGTGCATTCCTAAGGAGGGGGATCACCATTTATTCACTACTTAATTCTAATTGGTTATTATGGCACCAACATTTTTTTTACCTCTTACACCCATGAATTTTTGCGCTTTGTGAGCTTTATATTATGAATTTGTTACATTAATGACATTTATATATTTTTATGTTACACAAGTGATTATCAGTTCTCAATTTTTTATCTAGAGTTTAGAACATATATAGTACCACATTTATTAGACATTTGTATGGTGCGGTTATTTTAGTTATGAATACTATTAATGAACCAGCGGATTTTTATTGATTTGTTTACTCATAGATCATTGTTTTATCATTTGCTAAAAGATGACTAGAGTGTGAGTTTTCGTTTCTCTCTTCCTGAGTTGCTAACTTTTACTCCTCCTACTAAACAGTCTTTACATCAATTTATGTTTTTTTACCTAAATGACATCATTTTCAATCTGTCTTTATTTTCACATCTCCCAGGTCTACGTAACTGGACGGCTCTGTTGGTCACTTTTTGCGATCATTGTGTTGCATAAGCAAAAAGATTGAATAACTTCAGTATTAAAAAAGTTCTCAGTTGTTCCAGATCCAAGTTGTCCGTAAATTTCACATAGCCCGCCGGATATCCCGTATGGGTCCCAGTCAAACCCTTGGTTTAAATATATATAAAATTGCTTGTCATTGGTTGAATGAAGTACTACAGTTTATGTTAAATCAGGCTGCCATTAGACTTATTTATTCTTACTGAAAAAACCGGCAATCAAAATTTAAGTAGACATTATTATTGGATCACATAACACAAATTGCAGTCGGTTCATGTACATATCCAATGCAGTTGGTAAACTAACTTAAAATGCTATTAGCTCAACTGCAAGCAGTCTTTATTGTTGGGTGAACCGCATTTTTAGTTAGTTAGCGCAACTGGATTAGATATTTGCGCTAACTAACCAAAAATGCAGTTTACCCAACAATAAAGACTGCTTAGGACAGTAGAAAAAAGTTTTTTTGCAATAAAATGCTATTTAATAGTTATAAAAGTGCATCATATATATTTTACTGATATATTAATTAAATTGATTTAATTAGTTGTCATGGAATGACTGGAGAATGTCTGTGTGATGATGGATGGTTGCCACCAAACTGCAGTATGAAGCAAGGTAAGTTTTTTTCAAATTTAAACATGATCAGAAGGATGTAGCCTTCAATATAGTACTTTCTATGTTACATGTATGTTTAAAACACTTTAAAAAGTGTTCCTGGCACATTAAATAAAGATTATGGTAGTTAATATGAGTTATGTTAAGAATCAGATGCTAAAAAATTTCATGGTTAATTTGATTTACATAGAGTTAAAGTTTTTTTTATTTATGTTAATTCATCTTCCCAAAGCTGAGAAGGCCACTACAGATGAGGAGGCATAATATGATATTGTTTTGAAAAATCTTAAAAGTAAAAAAACATACTCAAAAAAAGTTCAAAATTACAGAGGAAATAAAAACTGCAACTTTGGGATTTGAAAAAAAAAAAAATTAAAAAAATATTAGTTTCAGGACAGTAAGTAGTTTTTCTATTTTTGCTTTAATTGCTAAAAAGAAATTGTATAAAAGGTGGATAACATACTCAAAAAAAGTTCAAAATTACAGAGAAATGGTTGTCCCAATCCTGATCTATATGATGTGACAAAAAAAATACAGAAAAACAAAACATTTTCATGTTTTGTAAAGCTAGCTCATTAAGTTTAATCTTTTGCTAAAATTTAGCAAAAATATAAGAATTTTTTTTAATTTTATTTATCAGCTATAATATCTATTAAATTGACCCCTTCTGAAATTTTGTACAGGCCTGACCCTGACTAAGTATGGGGCATTTTAGAACCCAACCATGGCAAAGTTATAAGTTTTAGAAGGGGTTTATTGCCAGGGCTAGGAAAAAATTTATGTTATAATATATAAATTTTTTTAATTGTGATTTACTTTCGACAAGTCTGCAATCAACCACTATTAAGTTAAGAGTTACTAGAAAACTGAGAATAAAGTTAAAGAGCAAGGAAATGGTTGACAGAAGAATGGTAGACTTGAAAAAGTTTTAGGTTGAATGAATCAAAACGACATGAGGATGATAGAGAGTTCAAAAAGGATGAAATGCAGAAAAAAGGCTAGATAAATTAAAAGTTTTTAGATAGGAATTATCTTTTTATGGATTTCCAAAAAGTTTTCCATAAATACAAGTTTAAAAAAATATTTTTGCAATATATATATATTTTTTGATTATATGTCATTATCTATGATAATAAAAAAAAAGTTAAAAAAAAATTTGGAAAGTTATTACTTTTAAAGTTGAAACCTTCAGACAAATATTAGTCAATTGAACTCTAGATGAACTCTGTTTTAGAGCACGCAAAAATAGGTACAGTAAAAGGATCAGACTTGCTGAATGACAAGTCAAGTGAGAATGAGTTTTGGTTGATAGAACTAGAGATAATTGCTCCTTTAGGCAGCAATCATCATAGTATTTGTAGAAAAGAGAAAGATGCAATTATACGATGATGGGAGAAAGGTAAAATTTGATAGAGCAATGCGTTTTTGGAACTTGTCTAGAAGAGAAAGAGCATAGTTAGAAGAACCACCCCAAATATGACAACAGTACTGCATACAGGGGCCATTAAGAGATTTGTAGAGATGGAAATTGGAATCAAGAGCAAGAAAATGGCAAGCAAGACAAAGAGAAATAACCTTTGCAGTTACTAATTTAGCAATCAATATATATGGTTTCCATGATAGGTTAATAGTGAAAGATAATCAAAGAGTACGAGAAAAAAAGGACTCTGAGAGGGTTGCAATTTATCAATATAGGAATGTTGGCAGTATTGTGATTTTGTTTGCAATAGATAAATGTGTTTTGTTGTCAAATTCACAAGCTACTGCAACCCTCAGTCTGTTAAAGAAGTGAGATCAGATTCAAAACCATTTGTCAGTTCTAAGTAATTAAAAATAGAAGACTCTTTGTCAAGACAGGAATATAAAAATAAGTCATCAGCGAGTAGAGCTACTTAAGATGTCAGGAAGATCAATAGATCTCAGGTTGTCATAAAGAAACAAAACAGGACCAAAGATAGAACCTGTATGTACCCCAAAACCCAAAAGTTACTATAAATGGAGAAGTGTTGGTGTTCAAGGATAACTTTGATAAAACAGTTAGAAAGAAATGATTTGATTATCTCAAAAACTTTCCCAGGTACACCATACACGGCTGTTTCAAACCGAGCTTAACGGCTTCTTGTTAATTTTTGAAAATATTGACTAAAGGGGTGTTACTAAAACTTTTATAACTTTTGAAATATAAAAGGTAATTTTGTTTTGTAAAAACAATTAAGACATCAATAAAATGTTTTACCTTATGACATTTAATGCATTAGTAGAAAAACTTCTTTTAGTTTAGAATAAATATGACATATATTGAATTTGGCTAAATTTTTGTAATTTGATGTTACTTTTTATCAAAAAAAAAATAGAAAAATATATTCCTAATAGTTATTATCAAATACACTTATTGTTTGACAATAATGAAAACAAAAAAACCTTACTTAATTATTTAAGGTTAACTAAAACAGCCTTAATCGAATTGTGAAAGCAAACCACATTTTTCGCAAAATTATGAAAAACGTCGTTATAAGGGGGGATTAGTTGTTAAATGAGTACTTTTTTTAATATAGAAGTTCTTGATTTAGAAAATTATTTTGGAACGCTGATAAAATCATTACATTACAAAATAAAGTTCTAATAATATGGTGTTAGGTAGTTAATAAATAAAAACTCATCAATTCTAATAAAATAATTCATGACCAAAATTGAGTTAAAGGTTTTGAATTAACCTAGCTTTTGGTAGTAGAATTATTTTATGGTACTTGTATCAATTATCTCTTCTCACAAAAACTAAAGTGTTTAAATATATACAAATAGCTGATTTAAATCTTTTGATAATTCGTTTTTATTTTCATTAAAAACTGTTTTATAATTAGTTGGTCCATTGATATGTTCTTCAAGCAGTAAACTATCTTTGAACACCCAGATGATACTAGACTCATACATAATTCATTTAAAACCAGAAGAACATTTGGTCAACTTGGCAATTGTGATAATAAAGTTTACAACTTCTTAATTTATCAAGCTAAATTTTTACACCAACTTGATAAATGAGACTTATATTCCATTCTTTAACCAGAGAGGAGGTATGTAGAGCAGAGGTCCTGCGAAGGTAGAACTAACTTTTGATGATAAAAATTGAACGGAGATCTAATATATATAAAAAATGTTACATATTACATAACAAAGGATAAAACGTTTTTTGAATAAACTACATAAACATACAAAATCATATCCAACAAACATACCAGTTGCTCTGATCACAAATTAAAATAGTTAGCTATACATTTGATGCTAGACTTTTATTCCATTCTTTAACCTGAGCAAAGGCATTGCATAGATATAATGAACTTTTGAAAATAGGAACAGAATGGGCATCTACCTAATATATAAAATCATTGTAATAAAAAATTATTATTATTTTGAACAAACATTACAGGCATTAAAACAGAATAGAATTCTCTTATTTGTAAATTAAGGATCTTATATAATTTATCTTAGATGTAAAAAGTTTAATTTTTTTTTTAACTTTTCAAACATTTAAACTAAATTTGATGACCACAAACAAGACAAAGACCTTGTCTATAAAATGAATTTTCGCCACGCTCTGAACACACAACACACTTTCTCACCTTAGAGGCTTGAAGCTTCCTATCAGCTTTGCTGTGCAATTCAAAGCGTTTTAAACCAAGATGCAGCTTTTGCTCCTGATTTCTAACTGAATGCAACTGCCTTAATTCCTTATTTACGCTATTATGCAAACACTCTCCCTCCTCTTCACTCAGCAACCCAATAGTTTTATGCAATTTTACAAATAGTGGCACATTGAAAATGAGTTCATGCATTTTTCGCGTGATACTTTCTTTTGGAAAGCAAGCATGAAACTCAATAGCAAATAAATTTATATATTGATGAAGCTCAGAAATTTCGGCATCAGAAAGAAATTTTCGCTTAAAAAGAATAGGTTGCAAGTTATTAAAAACACTAAACACACGTACAAATCTATTTTTAATTGCTTCATCATCAATAACACTACAAAGTTTATAGTGGTTTCTTAATATTATTTTACAATGATTACCTACAAATACATTACCATGGTAAGCTTGTCGCTCAACTTTCATATCTTCAAGGGCCTTATAAAGAGACCTCTCATGAGTCCCCATGCTACTTATAGATATTTTTTCTAGGTCTTCACACTCTATCTGCAATCGAATATACTCAACGTCTAAAACTTCGCGCTGTGCGCGTATAAAAGAAATTTTTTCAGAAATATAAAGGTCAAGACATTCTAAATCTTCACCCTGACATGCTAAACACTCATACTTCTCTATATCACACAATACATTCTTTTCCGAACCACCAATAATTTCACAAAATTGATGGAACAATTTTTGGCACGTACCACACTGCACCCAATCAATGTTACAATCATATTTAGTAATTAAACACCTGATACTAGCACACTTTTCTTGCTGTTTACAGGTTTTTTTTTTATTGGAGGAGTTTAGAGATATGCATTCCAATTCAGAAATATTTTTATCAAAAGCTAACCAACGAGTCTGTAGATTTGCAACGTCTACAAATTGATTTCCTAATAAACGTAAAGAGTCTGCTGTTTTAGAACATTCAAAGCTTTTAGCAGCCCACAATTCATTCGTTCTCACATTCTCATTATGCGACAAAGACGAAACAGCTTGACAATCCAAAATCTTACACTCCTTCAACAATAACTTATAAAGTTTTAACACAACTCCTAACATAATATGCAAAACAGGTGGCACTACATTATCTAAAGTTATTATGGGGAAAATCACAGGAGCAATAATTGAATTATGAAACTTACCTAGAGCTCTTAGGTTTCCACCTTGTCTATCTTCACACAAGTTCTCATTGTAAGCACTTTCCAGAGATTGTATTATCCTCCTTAAGATGTTACAATTAGCAGGTGTGTGAGGCATAGAAGCATGGTTTCTTAGAGAATTCAACTTAACTAGGTCTGTAGAACTAGGAAAGCT